TGTGTGTGTGTGTGTGTGTGTGTGTGTGTGTGTGTGTGTGTGTGTGTTTTTTTAACGACTGGAACAGCCCACTGAGCCATGGTTGCAGGTGTCTCTCACGCACACACACACACACGTCAGACAGAAATAACCTGTTTCTGCCCTAGTTACGCCTCAGTTTCAAATGAGGAATCGGTACCTGAATTTCCTTTTCTCAATCTAAAGCGCATAATTAACATTCACCAAATGTCCAAAATACTTTTGTATCTGTGTGTACAGTGTTGTTGAGGGACGTGTAAAGTCAGCAGAAAAGAGGCCTGAACCTGTGACTTTGAACTGCTGCCTACAGTATATCTGTTCTTGTTTAAATTCAGCAGGATTCATGGAGGACTGACTTCATACAGAGCTTACACACACACCCACACACCCACACACCCACACACACACACACCCACACACACACACAGACATAGGGCATGCATGTAGCTGCCTTTGTAGTCTTTCTGAACTGAAGAAAGAAGTTGTGATGAAACTTTTCTCGGTCAGATTAAAATGGAAGGTGCTGTAAAAAGATGTGTATGAATAGAAGCCAGTGTGATGGAAGAGCATGGGGCCTAATAGTTATCTCTGGCAGTCATTAATTTACTATTTACTCAATAGATGCACAGATGGCAAACAGACATGAGTACAGCACATCAGCAAACGTTCACTGCTCTATTCTGAATGATGCTTCCTTCCGTTGTGTGCGCTAAGGCGTAGAAGACAGAAAATGTGACCAAATATAGATTTTATGATTAATATGACAATCCCCTGCTTTCTTTCTTTCCTTCCTATTAACTTACTTAATTACTTTCCTTTCAGGACCCGAGGGCAAAGCACAAGTTTAAGATCCACACCTACTCCAGCCCAACCTTCTGCGACCACTGTGGCTCTCTGCTCTACGGCCTCTTACACCAGGGCATGAGATGTGACCGTACGTCCTTCACACACACACACACACACACACACACACAGTATCAGTTATATTCCATGTAGCAGGCGGTCTCATAATGAGATGTACATAACGTATATTGTTGTCTTTTCAAATACTGCCATTTTTTTGTGTAAATATAAACTCTATGTTCAGAGAATACACACTTAAATAACATGACAAATACATCTGTGTGTGTGTGTGTGTGTGTGTGTGTGTGCGTGTGTGTGTGTGTTTCCAGACTGTATGATGAACATCCATAAGCGCTGTGTGGCCAATGTGCCGAGCCTGTGCGGGACGGACCACACTGAGAGGAGAGGTCGCCTCCAGATCACCGCTGAGGTCAAGACTAATGTACTCACTGTCACCAGTACGTATATCTCAGAAACACACATACAGTACATGTACACATACAGTACATGTACAGTTCACACAGACACTACTGAGAAACCCAGTCTTCTTTCTCCCTCTACTGGTGGACCTGCAGAGGTGAAGGCAGTGAAGCCAGCCCTTCGTTCTGTGCCCATGAGCAGTTCTATTCCAGTAAACTGATGCATTGTTATGTATCAACATACTGAGTGTATTGTGTCAATCAATACAAAATGCTTTCTCAACATTTTCTAACTTGAGACCAACTTCTGATTGTTAAGAAACGTCTGAATGTATTCAGGGTCAGATTTCTTCACCACACTTTGGAGCTTTATGTGATGCAGGTTTTTTCATAAACTGTCACTGCTTCCAACGTGGTAATTCTAGAGCACATTTAGATATTAACATAACTAGCTTAGTGAATCTTTTTGGCCCACTAGGTGGCGCTTTGAGGCCCTCCAGTGGGCCAATGAAAGCTCACATTTAGTCAACAGAAGTACTGAATATACTGTGTTTGGGCTTACTGAAGTGTTCATGAACATCATTTTTGATTCATTTGATAAGAAATATGTAATCTAGTGATGTTTGCATTAAGATGACGTCCAACTCTCTCTTGAAGTTAATTTTAGCGACTATATTCTGAGACTTTATTTGTATTTTAGTATTTAGCCAGCAGGGTACAAGATCTCAATGGAACATGTGTTACTAACTTAACCGGTGATGTCAATTTAGCTTCAACCACAACCCAGAAAGTCTCACTGAAGTAATCAGACTGCTACTGACCTGTGTTGTCTGTTATTTTACATCAGTTTGTCAAACGTCTCACAAATATGAAGCGTTTAGATTGACTGTCAATGATGATCAAGATTAAGCTGTTTCTTCGCTGTGTGTCCAGCCAGCGAGAGACAATTACATTACATTGTTACATTTTTGTAGAGGATAACGTTTAACGCAGAACATTTCCCAGAATGCCTTTCAGCGACCCACCCAGAGTGGGATTTGTTGACTCGTTGCTCTCAGCTAAAGGTGTTGGGCTCCTGTGGGTTATCAATGTACATTTAGAGAAAAAGTGACTTTGATAACAGCGTTAGGACCGTTTTCACTATTGACCTTCTGCATCGGGGTTCATGGTATTCACAGCATATCACCTGAATTATTAGTATATTGTCTGCCAGTGAAATGTTGCCCAAACAAGTCTAGCATCAATGGTATGAGTTAAATGTTCGCTGGCCACTTTCCTAACGAGAGTTTTTCTGATTTGCCTCGTCTTTTATTTCAATATCTTTTAGATCAAATAAAAAATGAACATGATTAAATGGTAGAGAACAGTGTCACCACTTCTTTTTAGTTTACTTGTAGTGCCTTGTCTTCCCTGCAGGTGACAGCAGAGGTTTTCATACAACTTTATTCTGCACCCGTCGACTCAAACACAGCCATGACTCACAGTGAAAACATCAGACTTTCTTAATGAACGATAAATTATTAGTTGTCACATGTCACCATCTTGTGCTTTGGTGCTAAATTAGTTGAATTCCCATAAATACATTGGCTGTTGTAAACTTTAAAAGTGTGTCGCATGTATCAAACGTACATACACAGTTAATCTCATATCCATAATCTGATTTACGTCCTAATGTGAATGGGTGGATTACCGTCTACTGTGCGTCAGTGAGCCCCAGGTACTAGATGATCAGTGATGATAAATGTTTGTATCCGTCCATCCATTTCTCCATGCTACTTAAACCCTGAAGAGTAATTACTAACTAAATGTAACTTAATGGTAACATGACTTTCATTGTGAATCCAAGATGGTGGAAACGATTTCTTCCTGTTTAGATTTTCAGATTTGTTGTGAAAGACAACAGATTCCTCTGGGATTACACAGCATATATTAATAATTAATATGCAGTCAAACACATAAACAAAGTCTACACAACTACCCCTTAAACAGTTAAGAGAACTTTGGGAATATCCTGAAAAGAGACGAAACATCCAGCTCATTTCTGCATGTAAAAGCATTTTTCCCTTCAGGATCTTTCGCTGGGCTTCATCCCTCTCTCCTCCTCTCTCCTCCTGGTTCCCACGCTCGTAGACGGATCATTAGCTGGGATTTACTGTGGGAAATGATAAGAGAGCCGACTTATCACTGCTAGGACAGCAGTAAAGGCTAAACAGCACAAGTGCTACAGAATAGAATGAAATAGAGCTGAATGGTTGAAGCTGTCGAGGAAAACAGACAGCTAATGTTGGTATTTTATATAGTTTATATCATATCTTTCAATCGGACCCACAGGGTATTATTGTCCAGCCAGCAAGGATTGTATTTTCAACACTTGCACACTTACACTTGAAGTAGTTGTGTGACATTCCTGATTTCAGCCAGCTGTGATAAACCCTCCTCTCATTTCTCTCGTGATAATAGTTTAAGGGCAATAGTAAGAGGCAACGAGAGCTGCAGTACTCGTTTCTGTCCACAGGGGTCAGTGTGGAGCCAGCAGAAGCTCACTCCCTCATTGCGGTTAGGTAGAGGGAAAAAACAAAAAAACACCACCACAGAGAATGAATTGTAGAACCACTAAGAATTATTCTACAGCTTAACGTAGCAGTGAGCTGGTGGAAATGGCTGCCACACTCAGAAATGCATCTGCGCTGTGGACTAGCTGTGGATTTAATCAAAGCAATGGACATGGGTGTAAAGTGACACTTTATTGATCACTTTTAAGGCATCTTAAGAGGTCCGAGCTCAGGGTCAGAGGCAGAACAGTGCCCCATGGAGATGGAGGATCAGTATCTAGCTCAAGGACACTCCAACAGGGAGAATGCAGTGGGACGTGGGATTGGGGTCTTGAAAGGTGCCACCTTCCCCCTTTGGCACTGCACACTCTGCCTCATGGCTTTGTAGCTGCTCTGAAAGGCAGGTTGGAAAAAGCCAGTCGGCATCGAGAAGGGTGAGAAGTGATAACTGTTTAATTACGGGGCACATTTTCATACAGTCTCTGCTGGAAAGGCAATCATGGTGTTGGCGTTGGTTGTTCTCAGGAAATGTAATAGTTGTGTGAGGAATGAGAGAACAGAACTTGAGAGAGAAGTCCAGACTCTGCCTCCTGTCTCACCTCTGTGTGATGTCCTGAATGTTGGATTTTTACTTTCGGAAAGTTACAGAAACACTAATGTCGACTCTGGCTGCCTGTGTGTTGACCTAAAAGCAAAGTTTAAAACCTATATATATTCAAAAAAAGGACCCGAAGAAATAACAGCTTCATCAATTATATGCACATAGATGTCTATAAGTGGACCATTGAGCACATCTTGGTGTCTTGGTGACGTGATAGTTCCTGGATGGCTCCATTGGGAGTTTGAACACCAGACCCCTTTATACTACACAAGCTTTGGTCTGAAGGACACTGCTGTCACACCAGAGCTCGGGAAGTGGACTTTTATTCAAAGTGAGCAAGGAATGAGAAAGTTTAATGTCAGGCTCAGAGATGTATGCTTTAGCAATTAGTCATGATTAAGCCTTTGATCCCACTGGGGGTTTTTGATTTTTTGACTTTTCATCGCTCAAATTCAATAATCCAATGATCAAATATCAGCTAGTAGCCCGTAACTGCTTCACCATCATACAGCATGGTAGCACTGGGCTATCGGAGCAGGAGTTAGTTGTAGTTTCATACATTTCCTCCGAAAAGGCTGAACAAATGCTTTAAACTTCTCCTCCAACCTGCAGAGATTAATGTCCACAGTATAATCACTTAAAGACATATAGGTCCTCCTCTAGAAATGAACACATGTTGCACCTGTCTTTTGTCTTAGGTAAGTTAGTGTGTTGTGCATTGTCACACTCACTCAGCTGTGATCAATCACCAGTTCATTGTCTTAGGTTTGAACCACAGAGGGGAAAGTTGATCCGTTTCAGAGTAGGTTCGTCAAAACAAAGACAAGTCCTGTCCCTAAAGTAATTGTCCTGATGGACTGTACACCCAAATGAACCTCTCTGGTGTTGGCACCAGCTAGCGACACATGTAGGAATAACGTTGCTAAAATGAACACCAAGCCAACATCTGTCTATTTGGACCCATTTAACAAAATGTTGGGGTTGTTTGCTTTAGTTAATACCAGGCGGCAACCTCATGTTCTGAAAAGTGAAGCCAATGCTGAAGTGTCTTAAAGTTGCATTCTCTCTACTGTCCATCAGGGGGCGACTCCTCTGGTTGTATAGAAGTCTATGAGAAAATGACTCTACTTCTCTCTTGATTTATTACCTCGGTAAACATTGTAAACATGAGTTTATGGTCTCAATCTCTAGTTTCAAGTCTTCTTCAAAACATCATGATGTTCATTTAGTAGATTATGGTCCATTTAGAGTCAAACAGACTATAAAGCAGGGAATGATTTAGGGCGGGGCTACTTTATGATTGACAGGTCGCTAACGCTACCAGAGACGTATACGGCGTCTCTACGTCACTCCTTCACATTCCAAATATGACGACTTCTGTTCACTGCTTGCAAAAAAAAAGCAAGATGGCGCTGACCAAAACACCAAAATGCTAAACTTGAGGCTTCAAAACCACAGTCCACAAACCAACGGGTGACGTCACGGTGACTAAGTCCACGTCTTATATACGGTCTATGGTCCATACAGATGTTGATCTCTCACGGGGAGATCTGGACCCTTTCAGGCCTCTTGGTGCAGCTTTCTGGCTGCACTTGTTCTCACCGGTACCAACAAGCTGATCTGAACACGTAAATGTACTCGGCATGACTGCTAACACCGTTTCACCAGCCTCGAGATTGAGACTAATTGTGCAGCACATACAAAAAAAAAGGCAAGCAGCAGTTGGACAGAACATAAGAATCCTACTAAGACTCCGACGAGGCTGCTTCACTTGGGAAAAGGTGCACTGCCAACGCCCACGCTGCTGTGCTGTTACTGCACTCTCATCTCCACTCGCCCTCCCTGTAGACTCAAATACACGCGGTATCTCTCTCTCTCACACACACACACACACGCATGTAAACCCAGAGCCATGCATGCTCTTTGCAATTAGCACACATGACTGCAAAAAAATCTACACACACGGTCACATTGCACACCTGTGCATGCACGAGCATATCCGTTCACTCGCTCACACATAAGCGCAAGACCACGCCCACCCTCTTCTGTTTACTGTGAGTGTCCTGTGAGACCATTTGGCATGCTACCCTCTTTATAGCTCACCTCAACCAGCATTTGATGGTCACTTTAACAGGCATCATCTAATATTTATTGAGCCGCTCCGCTGAGGGTTTAGTGCTGGCCGTTGGGTCTGTGCTGTGGTTAACCTCTCGGAGCTTAGCGTAGCATGGCGCTCTAACAGCATGAAAAGCTAATTCCTCTGACTTCTCCAGGTTTTTCTCACACTGCGAGCTCGCTGGGAAGCTCTCTCCCTTCAGTCGTTGGCTTGAAAAGGATGCCGCGTGTTCCCCGCAGCTCTGACAGATTTGCATCTCAATTGTTAATTGTAAAAGAAAGAAGAGTTTTACTTTTAGGAGAACTTTTGTGGTGACAATATAAGACGGACATGCTTCAATATTATGTGACGCTTGTCACTTTTCATAATTTCTCTTCTAACAATGGCAGCCATTCCCCATCATTTGATTGTACATAACATGCAGTCTCCTCGCTTCTCCACCTGCAGTCCCATCTACTGTAACACTTACATCGAACTGTTTCTTCATTTGCTTTTTTGCCTCTCAGACAACCTGAGACGATGCATTGAGCAGTAAAGTGCAGCATAACCCACCTAAAGTCAAACTAACCACACACAACTCAATCTGAAAGGGACCCCAGAACAGACAGATGTGATCTGAATTGGACCCAAAATAGACCGAAGTAGGATGATTGGACTGGATTCAAAATGGTGTCAGCCTAACAGACCCAAATACAGAGAGCTGATACAGAGTCTGCTCATGTATTAGACATGTTGAAGCCGTGGTGATACCAGATTAGACTGAAGAAAGTGTGGACATAAGTATTCAAAATGACCCAATGAATGAGTGACATGTCGGTCCATGTGGCTGCTTGTTTAAAAGTCTTGGTTTGCTTGTATGAAAGTAGTTTGGACCTTAAATCAGCTAAAACAAAGTGCACCTTTTTTCTTTTGTTTTTAAGGAACGTAAACTACGAGTGTGACTATTTTCTTCGTGTAGCTGACCCGGTATATTGAGATGCCAGGAGACATGGTTTTAGGTTTCCACATTTGTAGATGGATCTTTGGGCACGAATCAGTGTTCTTAAAAGGCCATAAATGAGTAATGTCACCTCTGGCGGGGGAGAGGCCCGAGCTGGTGTGTGAAGTTGAGACGGCCCAACTTGAACCAGTGAGTTGGTCTCTTCTATGAACGCCACTGACTCGTGAATCAAAGTCCTGCTCAGGAGTTTGTCCAGTTACCCTTTCAGTGTTCGAGGCAAACGGATGAGAAACTAAACTAATGTTTCACAATCTGTTTTAACATGTTTGCCCAAACACCAGTCTACACCAGAGTTTACTAAACTTATTTTATGGGGACTTACTTTAAAAAAAAATGACAAACCATCACCACCCAATTCACAATAGGCCTCATCTTTAAATCGTACGTAGAGCAAATTTGTGCGTAAGGAATGTTCCTGACCATCATTTCCACGTCACGTTTTATCATCCTGAACAGCTAAACCAAACATTTTGAAGAGATGTACATGTTTGATGAATCACTTTTTAGTTTCACGTAACTTGCATACTTCAGTTACGGCACTTCCGTCGTTATTTTACCCCAAACGACGATCTTTTCCTGAACTAAGTAATTTTGTTGCCTAAGTTGTGTCCTTTGGAAAGACTGTATCCATCTAACGAGCGGAAATTCACGAACCGTTGTATGAGGATAAGTTGAAATATAAGACGATGGAGGATATTTTGCAAATTTTTTGGCGACCCTAATAATATCTCCTGCGAACCACCTTTGGGTCCCGACCCAGTCTTTGGGAATAACTAAACCACATGCAACTTCACACTTCCTACCTTAGCTTCTCGTGGCTTTCTCCCACAATCTCCTACCTGTCAAGTTCTTTGTTGTGTGTGTGTGTGTGTTTGTTTACGGAAGAGAGGGTTGGAAAAGTTATTTTGTGTGTGTGTGTGTGGGTGTGTGTGGGGGTGTGTTCGTGTTCGTGTTCGTGTGTGTGTTCTTGAGTGCTTTCCCAGCGAGCAGCCAAACACACAGCAGCACCAGCTCTGCTTCTTGTAATTGGATGTGACCTCACAACTTGACCAGCCACAATATTTGTGCACACACACACACCTCACAATCACGGGGTGTTACGCCACTGGAATACAATTACAGCTCAATAACAGACGGCCACAAAAGAAGGATTAGTGTTGGAACTGGCAACCTTCATCTGTCCACATGGTCATTACAGACAGATCTGGCAACCTTGAGGGTTTAACCCCCAATACAACTCTGGAGGTCTGGTGTGTTTTCCGTTGCCTTTTTCGACAGGAAGCGCTCTCCAAATCCACACACACACACACACATACACAGCTTCAAATCAACACCTGCCAACCTGCAAAATATGGGTTAAAAGGAATTATGATAAGTTATTGGCAGGTTTAAATCAAATTCTCATACCCTCTTTTAATGGCAGACGTCCTCCAGGTCATGCACAAGTACACCGAGGGCGTATTTGAACCCACCAGCCACCTCCAGCACAGTGTGTGCAAAAGAGTCCAATAGAGTGGAATGTTAATACAAGCGAGTGGTGATTAATCATCATTTTACTCCCTTTTATAGCCTCAAAGGAAACTGGCTCACCAATGGGAGGAGAGAATCCATACCAGCTCCTCCAATGTTGTCGTCCACGAGGTTCAGAGTAGGATGTTTGGAAATGCAGCACTGTAGATATGACTCCAACAGCGTCTAGAGTTTAAGAGAATAAAAGTAAAAGGATGTTGATTTGACCAGTGTTGGCAAATACAAAAATATACATTTATATCTGCAGTACACATTTTTCACAGTTTGTTTTACTGATGAGATACCCTTGACTCTGCCCAAATTATTTTTATTTGGTCTCATTCATAATATATTTAATATGGATATATGTTTTTAATAACGCACGTTGTGATTTATTAAACATTTATCGCTTTAAATGGCTGTTTTACCGATTCAAGATGAAATGAAGTGATGCATAAATGGCAGTAAAGATTGTCAGAAACTTCTCATGATTTATAGATGAGGCCTCTTGGGAATTTGGTTGCGATGGTTTATTTTCTAAAAGTGGGTCCCTCGAAAAGAAGTTTGGGAAACAGCCAATTAACATTTGTGCAGTAAATGACAAATAAATGTGTTAGATAATTAATATAATTTGTATTACTGTGAAGGTGGTCTTTCGTTTGTTTTACTCAAAGGATTAATAAGGTTGCATTTTAATCCCCTTTGATTACTTTTGTATACAACAATATCATAATAATTTAAAGTAAATCCAATCATGATTATCTCTGTTCATGTCTCTTGTGTTTCTGTTCATCTCAGTTTAACAGTAAAATATAAAGATTTAATGTTGTGTCTTTTTTTTATGGACATTTTTAATGAGTACTGTAATTCATGATTCAGTTTGCTATTCAAACTCTGCTCTCAAACACAAACCGCTCCACAAAACGTCATTGAAACTGAATCTGTCTCTGAAAGTCTTTTTTTCTTTTTCCAAATTTCCTCTCTCACCTTCTCCCTCCCTCTTTCTTCTCTTCCCCCCCCCCCCCCCAGTCAAAGAGGGCAGGAATCTTGTTCCTATGGACCCCAACGGTCTGTCAGACCCCTACGTGAAGCTCAAACTGATCCCAGATCCCCGCAGCGAGAGTAAACAGAAGACCAAGACCATAAAGTGCTGCCTCAACCCCACCTGGAATGAGACCTTTAAATTGTAAGGCTTTATCACACCATGTTTGGTGATTTTATTTATTTATCTTTCTGTTTGTCTGTGCCTCTCCTCTGTTCTTTTTTTTTTTATTATTTCCATTTTTTATCTCTGTCTCATCTCTTCCATCACTGTTTTAAGAGCAGCACATTATGCTCGTCTTTCCCAGCATGTGTAACCGCTGGCGCTCAGATAAAAACATCTGGCTCCTTAGATTCATAAAACCTTGCTTTCGGGGTCGTCTCATGCAGTTGGCTCCAATTACATACTTAATCAGCTTCATCGCAGTTTTGCATGGAAGGAGACCGAGATTTGCATTTTCCGGCATCTGGGTGCAGATGTTACCTTTGAAAGGCTTTTTTTTTTTCACATCTCCAACAAATCAAAAAAAGAGATGACAGAAAAAAAAAATATAAGTTTTTTCTTTAATAATATATTAAAAAGAAGTATCATCCAACTGTTGATGGTCCCTGTCTGTCCCCCAGCCACCTGAAGGAGTACGATAAGGACCGCCGTCTGTCGGTGGAGATCTGGGACTGGGACCTGACCAGCCGCAACGACTTCATGGGATCGCTGTCCTTCGGCATCTCGGAGCTCCAGAAACTAGGAGTGGATGGATGGTGAGATGAACGGGGGAGGCGGGTAGAGAGACGTGAGGCAGAGAAACAACACAGGTAGAGGAGGAGGGAGAGGGAAGGTGACCTTGTTCATTACTGCACCGTTGGAGAAATACTTTAGTTGGAGCTCTTCTTTTTTATTCTGGTGATACTCTGTGCCAAAGCATCTCTACCCCGTCTCTTTATCTCAGCTTCTTTATCTCCCCAGCACCCTCCCTCTCCCTCTCTAGCTCAGTCTCTATATCTCTCTATCTTCCTCTCTTCCTCTCTTTTTTGCTGACGCTGCCCTGTCAGGGATTTTAATGAGATGCCAGCGTTTGAGGTGGAATGGTGGAGGTGGAGGGATGCCATTTAAAAACCTGATATTTAGAGCAAAGAGAACCCGTGCAAAGTGTGTGTTTTCCACAACTCCATCTATGTGAAGCTCCAAAGCCCCACACCTGCTGCCACCAGCAGCCGGGGGGGGGCGGCACAGAGTGAGAGTGACACGAACAGCCGAAGCTAAACTTCTGTATGTTACCGCCCTCTATGGGAGGTATTTGGAATCATGTTCAAAAGGCTTAAGCTTGTGACATAATCTCCCTTTTTCTGATGTGATTTGATATCATGTTAATCGTCGTCACGGAAGCGTAGCAGCCACCCTCCGGTTCTCCCAGCACTCGTTGTAGTTAGCGCTGTTAGCCCCGTTAGCTGCGAACCGCCGGCTTATCTTTCGCCACGTTGAGAGCCATTAAGAGGGAATAGAAATGCTCCCAATCCTGTATTAAGTGCCTTTAACATTAGCTGAAAAACAAACTGCAACCTGCTGCCGGTGTTTGATCGCCTTTCATTTTTTTTGGATGTTTCTACTGTGCAAAGGTGTCTAAACCTATATTCTCAGTCATCTTCAAAGTGGCTAAAATCAATATTTTCACATGAATTTACACAATTGATCACTCTTAGTACTAACCGCTCTTGCCTGTATATTTGAGCTGTATTCATATTCGTCTTCACATCCTGGCCGATATGTTTCATCTGAGGAATTTATGATAACCGCTTTCTGATCCCACCTCGTATCCAAGTGTGTTGGATACTCCAGATAAAAATGTTCACAACCAACAGGATCCACATCTTCTGAGAAGATCAAAGCTGGAAAGAATAAAAGGGAAATAGTTGAGATCTGTTTCACTAAATCATAAACACCAGACACAATATTATTTACTGTGAATACGGTTATGATGCCGCGAGTGGTAATGAGGCCAATGTGAAAAATGATATCGTATTGATTTAGTTAAATGATAAGCTTCTGCGCTGTGTTCTGGGCCCGTCTCTCTGTCGGGCTTTGCTGGATCACCATGAAGGAGAGTGAATTACTGAATAATCAGCTGATTATTCTTTAGGACTTTAAATCGGTGTGCTAACAGTAAGCCGCTTCAGCTAATGGAAGCAGTTAAATGCTTAAATTGTATAAACTAATTGGGAATTGATTTGACTGGAAATATTTTCTCTCTCTCTCTCTCTCTTCAGGTTCAAGCTGCTCTCCCAGGAAGAAGGCGAGTACTTCAACGTGCCCGTTGCTCCGGAGGGGGAGGAGGGCAACGAGGAGCTCCGGCAGAAGTTTGAGGTGTGTGCGCATTTGCACCTTTTTAGTCTTTTTGTGTGTTTATGTGGAAGCGTTTGCGAATGTGTGCCGGCATGTGTTTGAATGTGTCTGTGTGTTACGCTTGTGAACGTGTGTGTCTGTCTGAGTGAGAGCCTCTCGGGGAGAGCTGTTAGCAGTTGGCAGGCACACTTGTAGTACCATCCGGTCTGGCACACTGTGTGTGTGTGTGTGTGGCTGACCAGTACTCCCACTCATTAACACATTTGGCAGTGGAGAGGATAACCCCGCTCTGTGCGTTTCCTCTCTCTTCTCTTTTCCTTTCCTCGTTCCTTCTTGCTGGCACTAAGCTACAAAACATCAGAGTTCTTCTAAAATGTGTTGATCAGAGTTGAGTGGAGCTGTTTGAGAACAATTGTGCTTTTGTCTTCCCACCCATCCCTGCTTTAGTCCCAGTTAGCTTAGCATAAAGACTGGAAACGGAGGGAAACAGCTAGCCTGGCTCCGTCCAAAGGAAACAAAATCCGCCCACCAGCACCTCCAAAGCTCGCTAATTAAAATGTTATGAATCGAGTTTGTTTCATCCGAACACAAACCAAAGTGTAAATCACACGTCTTCTATCATCGAATCCTGTGGTTGGTTTATTGGCTTTCGCCCCACAAACAAACCGCAGACTCGGCTTGGAAATGAACCGAGACCCACCCGTCATCAGGCGGTCTTGTTTCGTTTGTTTGGTCCACTTCAGTGTTCGATGGACAGCTTTCACACCAGCATGAGCGAACAGTAACTGGGGACATTGGCCTGAGTTTGTTTTCAGTGAATCAAACGGGTTGTCTGTGAAAGAACCCTTAGTCACTCAGTCACATAGGAAAGACTTAACTCAAAGGTTCTGGGCTATAGAGGAAAGTAGTATGGAACTATTTCCTCTGCTGTTGGCCATGTGATGACTTGACAAGACATTGTTTTTATGCAGTGATTTATTTGTAATTCCTGATGATTTATCCTTTTGTTTTGTCTCACCTGGTCTCCTAAGTTGTAGTTTAGGTTTTAGTGCGGTGCGGTGGAATAAGATTGTTTTCATTGTTGATAGTGTTTTTGGTTAAAAGTCTGGATGTTGACCTTTTGGGGAGGTATTGTAGCCTCCCATCCTTCCTTTCTCTCCTCTCTTCCTCCCCCTCATCTTCATTTTGCTTCCCTTTCTCTTCTTCACTTATCTGTTTTGTCCTCCGTCACCTTCAGTGCCCCCCTGTGTGTTTCTCTCTCTTTATCCGTTTCTCTCTCCCTCCATCTCCTCAAGGTCGTGGTCCTCAGACGTTCACCGAGACACATTCTCATGGGGCCAGCTATCTCACACACACACAGACACACAGACACACACACACACACACACACACACACACACACACAAGCATGTAGGTAACCCCGAGGGTGAAGCTCTCAGGGAGATGGCAGAGAGAGAGAACGACACAGAGACAAACGGAGAGAGATTTCACTTTGGTAACATGACCTGCGTGCCTCCATTCACAATCACACAAAAACACACACGAGACAGTCACAGTGATAAATAATGCATGTCGTACGTATGCGCACACACACAGAGACACAGACAGACAAACTCGCAGCATTCAAAGAAGTTAAGCAGCAGAGAGCTAAATTTATGATGAGGTTATCCTCATTTGAAGCTGAGACACATTCCTCTCTCTCAATTCATTTTAATGAAGCTTTATTGGCGTGAAGTTTTGATCAAAAGACATTTTTCCAAAGTATATACTTTTACTCTCACTATTTCTAGCTCATCCACCGCACTTTTTGTTTCTCTGTTTCCTTTCGCCTCTCCTTCCTCCATCTCCTTTCTCTTTGTCACACACACACACACACACACACACACACACACACAGGGAGCTACATCAGAGGAGAGTGAAAGGGTTGACCGGGGGTAGAATGAAGGTGGCTTGCGGTATTGAGAGAGACGGAGAGAAGTACTCACAGATGGAAAGGCAGTGGGAGATTTGTTGACATCAAGAGAGGCACAACATGTTTCCATCGACTGTAATTAGTAAAGACATTTTGAGCCAGCTTTTCTTATTTTGCAAAAGAACACAGTGTAAGAATTATCTTTATTTCTATGGTTTGGAACAAATCAAAATAAGATCATGGAGGTCGTGATGATGCAGAGATGTCTGTATAATCATAGGAAGAAGACGTAGTTGTGCCAGTAAAAAACAACTCATTTATGGAGAGAAAACGGGATGAAGGTCCTCGGGAATTATTTTTACAGAGTCAAGGTGTCACAGCTCTCACATGTCAGGTTGCTGCATCAGGATAGTATCTGGGATGAAACAGATGATGAAGATCCATCACCAATTAAACGCATAAATACTCTTTTATCCAGAAAAGCCCCCCAAAAATAAACACCTTAACTTGGTGCTAAAACTATTTGGAGGTTTCCAAGAAAATGCATCAGGTTTTGCTGCTGCCATTCATCCTTTTTAGCATTTATAAGATGCACAAACACGTTCTGGACACATGGCTGTAGACAGAGAGCACCATTATTCTCTGAAGGCTTCAAGAGTGTTGCCTTCAGCATGCTCTGCTGCTCACAGATACCTCAACTGCTCCTCTGTGTGTGTGTGTGTGTGTG